GTGTGTGTGTGTGTGTGTGTGTGTGTGTGTGTGTGTGTGTGTGTGTGTATACATATATATATATATATATATGTGTGTGTGTGTGTCTGTATATACATATATATATATATATATGTGTGTGTGTGTGTGTGTGTGTGTGTGTGTGTGTGTGTCTGTATATACATATATATATTATATATGTGTGTGTGTGTGTGTGTGTGTGTGTGTGTCTGTATATACATATATATATATGTGTGTGTGTGTGTGTGTGTGTGTGTGTGTGTATAACCAAAACAATACACAGTGTCTTGAACTTATTATGTACTTAAAATTATTAGTGCATGTGCGTGCATGGTATGAAACACACAAACTGGATAATGCTTATAACTTTGAGCGTACATTAGTGCCTAATATAAAACCCAGTCATGAGTTTTCCTATCAGTACCCGATTAATAATGTGCACGAGATGAACGAACCTTCTTGAGATTATCGGCCAGTGCTTGGTAATGCGGAGTGACATCGTCCACAGGTACAGGGGAGAGTGTCGCCATACTGCGCTGCACAGTGAGCACACCCGACGGGCGCATCCACGCGGCTACGCGAGTTAATGCGGCCATTTTTGTATGTGTGGGGTATGTGGACTTATATGATCTGGACGGTAGTGTATGGATCGATATGTCTTTATTCCAACTGGCTATTCATACAGAAGTGTTTGCGCCCTGTCAAAGCACGTCCGGTATGAAGCAGTTGTAGTTGTGGAAGCTCTGGGCTGTTGGAGGGCATATAATATATTTAAATATTTATCTGATGCGGTAGCGGTCAGGAGAAAATAAATAATATTTTTGGTACAAAAGCTTGTGACACTGGCACCACGCATGATAATGCGGCAGAAAGTAAAATCAAAGCGGCAGCCCTGACTCACTCTGAGACACCTCACTCCCTCTATAGAGAGAGAGAAATTAGGGTCAGCAGACTTTCAACAAGACAGTGAAGACACCCAAAACCCACAAAGATAAAATAGAACTGTTTTTTTAGAGAAAACACAAAATATACTCTGTATTATCAGCCCTCTGGTCTCTGTCATTATTTACGCACAAGGTTAACACCTGGTTATTTCCACATATGATATTCTAACCAATTTATGACGTCTAAAACCGACTATAGTAGTAATATGTCACATGACATGAAGTAGAAAATAAGTCGTCACACAAATATTAGTGACGAAATAATGCACATGGAGTGACGTCATGCAGGAAATGAGTGATCGTGGGACTTGGTGTCATGGAGTCATGGAGGACATGGACTTTTTAACTGAGTGCCATACACTATACAGCTGTGAACAAATATATATATATATATAGTATATATATATATATATATATATATAT